ATTTTCTAGATTTTTACATGGCAGTGGATGCCTGTTGTATACCAATGATGCTTTGTTATTTAGATGCTATTCTCACACCAGAACTAAGTATTGAACCTCACCACAGAAAACTTTGGGTTTGCTGGTTTACAAAACATGAAGAATCTTGTACAAGCCAGTGGAATTCTTCATTTCCTACCTCAGAATGTGTATTAGCTTTGTGTCTTTGTGTGCATGTACAGTAGGCAGCAGCTAAGCAAAGGCCCTTGTAAATACTGCTTTTCAGTTTTACCTTGCAGCAAGGCAAAACTTGTTCTGGGCAAGGCTCTTTTTTTTCCTCTCCCCACCATCCATAGGTAACATAGCATTAATAAATACAGTAAGCCACTTATTTAAAACAAAAATTTAAAAATTAACAGATTTCAACAGGACTTCTCATAACCAGCATGTAACACAAATAACTACACTACCTCACCTATGGGACTGAAAGTTGATTGAAATCTCTAGCGAATCCTTGGATTTTCATCATATATCATTACTTTTTTAAGGAAAAAAATATGCTAATGGTGTATAGCTTGTATAAATCACAATGCTTGCAGTAACTGAAATTCAGAAATAAATACTACACAGCAGGTATCATGATAATTGGATTGAAATGCTTTTAAATTACTGTCATTGAGATATGATGATCCTGTATATGTATTACTTTATGAAGCTCTCTGGGCTTTTTCTTCAGTTTCTGTAGATTCATAGTTAATTTAATCCTGTCTCCCTCCCACACTGCCACCCTGGGAAGCATTAACTCATATGTTTCCATTTTATTTAAAAAGCAAACCAACAAGAAACAATCAAAAACAAAATTCAAAGCCCAAACCTCTACTGTTCATAACTACAATCACTTTTAAAGCTGGTGATATTCTGAAATGACGTGGACAATGGCATTAAAACATTGTCCTAATAGTGCACATAGCTGGAAATAGAATTCCTTGGGGTAAGTCCTCATTCTAACGAGGTGGAGCATCTTTGTAGGGAATGGCTGGCTGGGAGCTTATCCAGTGGCCCAAAGCCCTGACACACTTGGCTGCAGATGTTGGAAAACAAGGTCAGTGATGACCAAGTGTGAGACTGGAACCTCCCTAAAGAGTTGTGCTCCACTGCTGCAGTCTGGGGTTCAGCCACTGCCTGAATTCCATATAGCTGATGGTGGAGGGATTCCAGGGCAGGAATCATTGACCTATGATAAAAGTAACATCATGTTTTTATAACCTGGTGTGAACTTGATGAAGCTTGAGGGTAGTTTTTTGCCTGACCAGCTGCATCTAAATAATTTTTTAAATATTTATTTAATACCACAGACCTACAAGTTGCATGTTGACTTCTATAAGCCTATATCATCAACTTGCAAGTGTTACAAATGAATGACAATTTTATGAAACAGAATTCTCAGGAAAATGTTTTTGGAGTTTGGTTTTATTTTTTCTCTTCCAGTAAAGAAATACTCAGTTTTGAAATTGTAAAATACTTTGTTAAAGCATGTTTTAAAATACTTTGAACAGACTATCTTAAAGCCATAAGGGTATGATGGCATAAAGATTGTAAAATAAACAGATAATTACAACAGTTGATTTTGTATTTTTCATAATTCAGTATTTTCTAAGTCTACAATAAAAACCACTATCCTTTCTACAAAGGCTTTTCTATTTTGTGTAGTTTTCTGCTGTGAAAGTCTCTACTGGTGCATTATTCATTTATGTAGTACTGCTCCAACAGTTCTGAAAATGGCAGCAAAGTAGTTTCTATATAGTTTATAAATTTAATAGGCCCAAACCACTAGCTTAGGATTCTTCAGACAAAGGTGAAATCTAATAATCCAGAGAGGTAATTGTACCAAAGTTGGGTATCTACTAAATTACTCATGATAGTTCCTCAGTAGTGTGTATTTTGTTCTATTGATTTTCTTTCTTAATTGCATATTCTTAAATACATTAATATTCTTTTCAACATACTGAAGATTAAATTTGTCATGTGGCAGACCTGCTGTTTCATATGAACAACAGAGCCAAGAGAGGCAAAATTTAAAATAAAAACCCTAAAAATGGTTAACAAGTACTGAGTGAGACTAATATAGCAATACAAGTAAGTTGAGTATACCTTGTTAACTTGAGAAATAACATTTAAGGCTTTCTTGGTATATGTTAATAGTCTAGTAAGAATTCAGTATGATACTTTAACAAGGTTTCCTAGTTTTTTATAATCTACTATTTCATATTTATTGTGAAAGAGAAGGAGATGGATGTGAGAGATTTGGGAAGAAACAAGACTCAGTAATCAAAATAGCACCCCAGAATGTGTATATATTCAACTTAATTAACTTGTTGAAGGCTGTAAGTCTCAACCTTTCAGGTGGACTGGCATGATTTTGTTGAGAAGTATTTGGTGATGAGAGAGACTCAAAAGTTCTAAATCATATTGCAATTTTATTTCTCAGCCCAGTGGTGATAAATCAGATGATACATTTCATGTCAGCCTGGCAATATTTTGGACTTTTTCAGGAAATTATCTAGGAAATTAGAAGGATTTTCAGTGAACAGCCTCTATTGGTTCTGAGTTTTCATTTCTGTTACTTTGACTCTTGTTAAAAATACACTTGATTTGCTTTAATACAGGATTCTCTGAAGTCCTTCAGCTGGAGCCTCATCTGGGTGCACTTACACAGGCCTGTCAGATACTTCTAGGTGGCACTGAAAAACAGTGTATTGGATCAACATCTGAAGGTACATGTTCTAACACTGTTGGTTAGTATTGTTACATAATTGCTCACTGTAATTATAACTACCCATATTTAAAACATTTACTTGAATACAGGATAATCAGTTAGCCACTGTGTGAAATTATTATTCCTAACAAAGTAGAAGGTTAAAAGCCAGGGGACGGGTTCAGTCCTGGCACGTTTTGTGTGAGAGTCATTTAGGATGTATTCCATAATTCTGCAGGTAGTATGCAGAACTGGGTAGGTGGGCTCCTGAGAGGTACCTTCCTGGGGAAGGAAAGCCTGTGTTGACAGGTAGGGTGCTCCAGATGATTGTCTGCTTGATGGAGGTAAAGGCCAGACACATCTTTCTGTCCTGGAACCTTCTGTGTGGGAGCAAATCTTGAACATACTCAATTTTGGAGCTCAGTAGCAAATTCCAGAGGTGGGATTCTGAAATAGGGTGTCACTACTTTTCTTTGGGAAGGAATGCATGATAGTCTCAGTGTTGGTAGAAATTTGTCTTTGTCCTGCAAGATCAAGGACAGCAACTCAGATACATCAAAATAAATTATTTACTCTCATAGTCTTCAGATGACGACATCCCCTATTTCGTTACCACCTCCGAAAAAGAATCAGTCTGGGCTTTGAGCCCAAACAAAAGGTGCCAGGACAGAAAGCTTGTGCTGGCCTTTACCTCTCCTGGGCAGCCTCTCATCTGCACCACCACCATGGGGACTAAGTGCTTTCCTTGCAAAGTTAAATGGTGCTGCCATAAATTTCAGTGTACCTCCTTCCAAAATGTCAGTCTGAGCACCATCATTAATGACACCCAAGGATTGCTCCCAAATAAAAGATGCCAGAACATAAAGCTGATACTGGTCCATCTCTCTCCTTGGCAGATTGTCATCTGCTCCAACAATATTGTGGCTTTTCTGCCCAAGGAAAGGCAGTCTCATCCACCTTCTGGAGCCCACATCCAAAACTGCAATACAATATTCAAATCTTAATAGGTTCCAAAATTAAGGCTATACAGGAGGCCCTATGAGAACAAACTGTTCCTGGCTTTTAAGTCTCTCGAGCAACCTGGTGACTTCAATCACCACTGGGGCCACACACTTTCCTTCACAAGGAGAGATACTATCATTCTCTTTTTGGAGGGCATATACAAAATTTTAATACAATATTCAAAACTAAATAGGGCACAGGATTACTCTCACAAAAAAAAAAAAAAAAAAAGTGCCAAGAAGAAAGGTTTTGTTGCTGTTTATCTTGCCTGGGCAGCCTACCATCTCTACAAAAACGCTGGGGAAGGTGCTCTCCTTTCCCAAGAAGGCTGTTTCACCCCCTTTCTCTCTCCCTCCTACAAATTTGGATATCACTGCTCAACTGAATACATCCAGGGAATGATCCCACACCAGAGGCTCCAGAACACAAGGCAGTTGCTGACCTTTACCTCTGTGAGGCAACCTCTCATCTGCAGCTGCCACACTGGGACACGGTGCTTCCCTTCCCAGGTAATAGTACAGCCATTCTTTTTCAGGAGCTTACAGCCAAAGTTTGCCTACCACTCCAAAACTGAATTTGTCTAGGATTGATTTAAGAGAGAAAGGTGCCAGGACAAAAAGGTCTTTACCTTCACTGGGCAGGCAATCATCTGCAGGATGAGCTTGTTTGTATTTCTTAGGAAAGGTGATGTGATTCACATTCAGGACACTAGCTCTGACAAATGGATCCGAGTTGCAAAGGGAAGAAGTGTTGCTGGTCTTTACCTCCTGTGAGTAAATTATTTTCTTCTAGCAAAACACATGGTCTAGGTGCTCTCCCTCCCATGTAAAAGAACTGTTGTTCTCTTTCAGGATACCTCCTGCAATTTTGAATACATCCAAGGGTTACTTACACAAAAAACATTTTAGGACAGAAAGTTCTTGCTGGCCTTTACCTTTTGGAAGCTTGTGATCTGCAGCAGCAACACTGGCATTATGTTCTGTATTTCCTAAGGAATGGTACTGTCACTCAGTTCCTGGACCCCACTTTGGAAATTTCAGATTAAGCTCAAAAATGGAATATAGCCAAGGATTGCTCCAACACAACAGGTGCCAGGCTAGGAAGCTGTTGCTGGCAGTTTAAAACAATGGATCTCCAGGTTTTCCTTCCCATGGAACAGAAGTTTACCAGCCGTAAGAGGGAGTGAATGCTGCTAGAGTGTTACATGAATTAAGGATTGCAAATGGAATGTGAAGGCCAGACAAACTTTTCTGCCCTGGCCCATTGCTTTTTGCCAGTACTGACAATTTCAATTTGGGATGTGCACACGTCATTGCTTCTGGAGGATCAGGACATTTATCTCTTTTGCAGCTACAGTGCTGCCATCATGTGGAGCTGAGCAACTGCGACGGGGAAGGTAAAAGACACCACAAGCTTTTTGTTGGGACACTGTTAGTGTGGGAGCAGTTCTTGAACTGTTTGGGATCTTGGTTCTGTAAGAGGGCAAGAATGGGAAGGTACGTAGAGAAGGAAACTGAATAGTACCCGGGTGTGCACAGGCTGCAAATGGAAGCTGATGCCCAGCCCTTTCTCTTTGTTCTAGGACCTTACTCTGAGGGTTTTTGGAGATTTCAAATTGGCGTATGGACTCACCAAACTGTAGGAGTATGAGACCCTACCTACAGCCAGAAAGAAGAATGCATAGCCCATGTTTGTGGTGCACTGATAGGCAGTGAGGAGAAGGAGCAGTCCAGCAGTTCCTTCTTTACTGGAACATTTTTATGTGCAAGCTGCAGCTGTTTAATTTCCTGTGTCCACAGCACCTATCCCAAAATCCCAATTATGTCCTTTTGAGTCCTTGCAATACCTTCTCCTGAGGCAAGTTATGGCCAGGATGACCTAGGCCTCTGAGCCAGTCACAATGGGGTGATTCTGCCATTTGTTTGTAGTCAGACTCACTCAGCTTCCAGCATAATCCCTGTTGGATTCTGTCACCCCAGAAATCCCCAGATGGATTCTGCCCCTACGTATCTTGATGCCATCAGGGTACTTTGTGCACCAGCGTTAATTAAAGCCTTATATCTGATGCCAGGCCATCAGATTCACACACTCCAATAGATCAGATTGTCCCTTTCCTCCACCTGGCAGGAGACAGGGCCTCTCTAGTTCTCATCATGGTACTCACTGCTCAAGTCTTGTAAACATGAACTGGAATCCTTCAAGAGGATTGGAAGTAACAACCCTCCTATTGTGTCTGAGGACTTGCCCACAGGAAATGGGAAAAGCATTTATACCTGTGCTGCCAGGTGGGTTTTCCATCCCACTTCTTTGTGTGCTCTCTATAGTCATGCAGGTAAAACCACAGGTTATTCGTGGTGTGCACCCTCTCTCTCAAGCAGAAGATTCCTGCTTCCAACAGCAGACTCCAGGCCCTAGGGCTGGGGTGTGGGACACTTCTTTTAATCACTGGTAGTCCTCTTTAAATTGCTCCAGGTCCTTGGACAGTCTTCCCATGAACAAGACACAGGCCTGGGGAGGAGGGGGCAGAAAAAATATTTCTTACAGCTGGAGTTTGAAAACTACTCTTTGTTCTTCTTTCCATGACAGCACTGCCAGCGATCTGTCATATGACACTGGCATGCTCTGTCAGAACAAACAGAGTTTGTGTACACTGGACTTCATCTGGATTTACAGGGGATTGCTCATCGTTTGAATCTTCATAGATTATCTCCAGCACCACTATTTCTCTTCAAGATACTGGGTACCTTGCTCCATGGTGTTCCACATGCCTCAATGCACTACTCAATCATCCTTGAGAGAATGCCTTTCCCTCACGCTTGACAGGAGCTGCCTTCAGAGCCTGAGAGTTTTTGTCCTCTTCCCGCTGCCCTTGTCAATGTTCACATCCCAGGACAAGGATCCCAGTTGCTTGGCTTCACTACCATCCCATTCCATATCGTGGGCCAGGATATCCCAGCACTGGAGTAGCCAGGTCGCCAGGGGCTCACCTAAGTGGCAGCTGGAACCTTTTCCCACATCTTACAGCTCACCTGGGGCCATGGACCAGGGGATTTTCTCTGGCCCTGCCTCCTCCTCCTGTTCTGAGGGCCCTGCTTCGCCAGCCCTCACTAACTGAACTGATTTTGTCTTGGATTCCTTCTTCTGTGCAGGGTGTCTGCCCCCAGCACGGGCTGTTCCCTGGTTCAGCTGCAGCTGCCGTGGCCATGGCTCCTGTTGCTGCTCCCTCCTCCTCCCCTGAGGGTGCTGTCCACTGTCCTCTGGAGCTGACACAGCATCCTCCTTGCAAATCTTCTGTCACTTTATCAGACTCCTGTTCAGGGGTGAACTCCCAAACCACTGGAGCAGAGAATTTCTCAAAAGATTGGCCAGTTTTCTCACACGTTCCATGCCACTCATGACCATTCCCCCTCGGGACAGGTGTCTGATTTGCCTTCTTGGAAATCCCTGTTCTGCCTCCAAACGTGACTAAACAGAGTGTGGACTGCACTGAGGCATAGCAGACATAGCAACAGGAACGTGCTTTCCTTACCATCCAAAGGGAATTCAAAATTCTCAGAAGCTGTTGTAACAAGCCTGAAGGAGGAAAAGGGGGGAAAGGGAGAAAATCATCCTTCCCCCGTTCCCCCCACAGAGTGGGTATGGTTATTAATTGACTTCCAAAGGTAGTGCTGAAGTAAGGGCAGGAGAGCAGCACTGAATACACATCCCACAGTACCCTCATTGCCCTTGGTATCATCATGTCATAAACTCACATCCCACAGCACAGCAACAAAGAAATGCTGATCCTCGTCCCTGCTCCATGAAAGGTCACCCTGAGGAGCACATACAGGAATGTATGAGCAGAGCCAGGGTTAGCCATGCCCACATGAACAGCCCAAGCACCACTGTGGCCAGTAGCTCTGGACCTAATACAGCAAATGCTGAGATCACATTTGTTTCCAACCCACTCTTTTGTGGGTTGTGCCCTCATTGTGCCTCACACTGAGACCCAAGTAAGGCTGTCTTGGTGTAGGAATGGTACTTCCAGATTTACTGCTCTATAAACCACTTGCTCACTTCTCCCCCTCCCCAAGGCAGGAGATTTGGGGGCACAAAAGGTAAAGACCATGGGTTGAGAAAGGAACAATTTCCTATAAAAGCCGAGATAAAAAACCAGTAACATCAACAGCATCATGTATAAAGGGAACTGTGACTGCTCCCTCAGCTCCAATTGACACTTACCTGTCACTCCCAGCCCTTGTCCAATGACCCTCTCCAGCTCTTAGAGGCTCCCTTCAGGTCCTCTTCAAGATACTGAAATCAGTAACATTTTTAGCAGAGAAAGATCAAATCTGTCACTATTAAATCATGCAACTACAACTGCAATACTATTTCAAATATCTAAACTATGATTTATGTTGGTATGTGAATTCCACTGTTAATGCTATTGTGCTCACTTGAGAAATTCAACTTTGAAAGATTTTTTTTTTCTGACATATTGGAATAGTCAACCAGAACCAGTACCCACATATTTTCCTTCACTCTCTTCCTAAAGGAACAAAGCTTACCAAGTTGTACTGCAACAACACCTTGACATATGAGTTTATTGAAGCAATTTTTAAAAGCACGTATTTCTGAGCGTGCTCCATCAATCCCAACTGTTCAAAAAAATAACTATCCAGTGTCCCAAGGAAGTGTCCATGTTACAAATGGTATGTGTTTAATATACCCATTTAAATCACAAGCAGTAAGCATAAATATTATTCAGAATGCAGATTAATTGCTATAGCTCCCCTAAAAAAAAGCTGGGCACACATGGAAAATAGCTTTTAATCTAAAGCTATTACAGCTCTCCACCTGCCTTGGACCCCAAGATCAAGTCACTAGTGCTCTCATGTATATCAACAGATTTTTGAAGTGGTTTTCACTTACATTTAAATTAAACTCCTTGGATTTTTTAGGACCATACTTAGATATTTAGTGGTGAGAGGAATGACGGATTTCTCTTTACAAACAATCTGTGGGTCTGCTGGTAGATAAAACTAACACAGAGATAACAGAAACAATGGGAAGGATTCCACTGATTGATGAATGGAAAAAAAAGTATTTGCTTTTACAAATAAACTTTAGGTTTGCTGATAAATTAAATTGGGCATTGAAAGATTAAAGAAACAATGAGGAAAAACCCTAAATTCCATTAAGAATTAAAAATTTAAAGGGAGGGTTATATATTATTCCAGGAAGTCTGTACCTATCATGTACCTCAGACAATGGGGAAAGTGAGAGGTAAATGTGCCCAGGAAATTAACATAAAAAGGAGGCTGCATCCTTCAAATATTTGAGAGACCCCAGGGGAATGCCCCATGGCCTCTCCCTTTATTTGAATAAAGTTACAGGACTCCTCTGTCTCCTTTTTGGACATAAACCTCTGATGTTTGTGGATTCATTTTCCTAACAGTGGGAAGTGTAACATTTTAATATCCACTATATAAATACTTCAAAGTTTCAAAATACCTTCATTTTGTTCCATATCTTCAGCCACTCTAACCTGAAGAAATAGGTTCCATGAATGACATTACAAAACAAAACCAAAAAACAAATCAAACAAAAAAACCAAACCCAACACCCTCCCCCCACAATCCTGACACAACTTAAGCAATTTAGAAAAGGAAGGAGGGTCCAGAATTCATTAGTCCTACAAAATGAAAGAAGTGCCACCATCTACACATGCATAATAATCATAAATTCTCAGTGTCTGCCTGTATATTAAAAAAAAAATACTTCACCATTTATCCAGATCTTCCTTTTGAAGGACAGTGGTAAGACTTCCATATTCTGAATGCAAATCACTTTTTAGTTACTCCACTTGGAGTGCACAGCTGCCTTTTAAAGGTCAGGGTCCACTTCAATGTGCCCATCAAATATTCACATATTTGAATGTTTTACCAGCCCTTTTGACCAATAATACGATCATTTTATTTTCAAAATAACTATTTTTAGCAAATGAAAAGCTTATTGCGACAGTACAACATCTGTATATCCAGTGTGAAAGCAACATGGTGGTATAAATATATGCATCATTGTATTACACAGAATCTATTATACACATTCCAGTTAACCATGGAACAATTAACAGGTGTAGATGACCACTGATTATGGGCACAAAGTATTTTTGTGAACAAGATTTTGAGAAATTTGAGGAAAAATCTTGTTTCTGGAAAGATGACAACCTTGGGATTCCATTTTTGTTTTCAGTGAAGTCAATGATTTTTATTTTTAAGGATGTATATAAGAATGCACTTTGTATTAAAACAAAGATCAATACTTTACAGTTTAAGAAACTTTACATATGTACATAAATTACACATCAGGAATGGTTTTAAAGCTCAAAATGAATGGTGGGAAAAGTCTATTTTCCTTCTATTAGAATCTTGAACTCTTTTACATTGTGATCATTTGCAACAGTAACAGCATGATCCAGAGCTCGGATACTTGCTAGAAGCTTCACAATCTGCTTGATGTGCTCCCTAAAAAAGAGGCAGCAGAAAACAATATAGAAACAGAACAATCAATGACATTAATTTTCCAACAGATGACTGCATTGTGGAGCCATATATTTCATATTCCTGTTGCAGATTTATTATACTTGCTTAATGAGTAATGGCAACAGATTTGTTAAATGCTGGGAAAAAACAAGACAGAAGATCGAAATCAAATTAGAACCTGCTATAAAAACAGGTTAATTGGATGTTTCTCTTCCAATAAAAATGTCTACCAAGTTATCATTTTACCTGGTGAAGAAGGCTCTTTCAAATTTAGAAACATACCAGCAAACAAGAGAGTTCAAAAACTTAAATAAACTTCAATCCCAAACTGTTACACTGAAACACAGGACTGTACCAAGACTGGAAGACTGTTCATTCCTGTGTTGTTGCTGCTCCCATAGTATGTCAGATTACTTGGCCAGCAGGAACGTGTCTAAAAGCTTTTTTAATTAAGCTGATCATTGGATTCAAATAAAATTACTCTTGGATCTCAGGTGAAACAGGTTCATCTAGTTGGTTGTGTAAATAGCAAGAACTTTTG